AAACATTAATGTTAAAAAAATGTCCAGTATATAAAAAATAAAAAAAATTATAGTCCCCTCACTATTTTTTTAATACCACTTCTACCTGCTCCATCCCAATTCCCCTTCTAACCTCCATCTCAATCTCCTCCTCTATCCTAATCCATTTCCCAACTCTATAAATAAATACAACACTAAGGAGTTGTTTGGGATGATCTAAATATTTTGACTTTTTATGAAATATGATTTGGATATGGGTTAAATTTAAAGTGATGTGTTAAAAAGATAATGGGTATGTTCGGTTTGTGTTTGAGAGATGTGTTTTAAAGATAAAAAGTGTGAAAAGTTGTTTGGTTTGGTTTTTTTCAAAAGATGTTTTGAAAAATTATTTTGAGAGAGAGTTTGGAAAAAATGATTGATTTGATGGGTGTGAGAGAGAGATTTGTTTGGAAAACTTGTTTGGTTTACAAGTTTTGTGAAATTTTTTTGAAAAAATTTGTTTGGTTCGATTACTTTTAAAAACTTATTTGTAGAGAAGTTTTTTCAAAATTTTTTCAGAAATACAAACTAAACGAACTCAATATAACTTAAATAAAATAATATGACTTAAATAAAAAAATAACTTTTTAATTTTTTTCAAACATGTAAAACTAATCCTCACCTCTTTCTTAAGCGTATCTCACCCTCTACACCCAAAACAAACGGGCCCTAATACCATACTCCAGTGGGAGTTGTGAACCGGACACAAGCTTGTGCCATATCGCGAGAAAACGATGAGTGGGAGACATGACGGGTACGAGGGTACAGGTAAATGTTATAATTACTTCGCTGCCAATGCGGCATGGGCATATCTGTACGGAAATCTATGAAACATTATTAGTTTATTCAAATATTATTAAAATTTGGACAATGACACTGTATTTATATTTTGAATAAAGGAAAATGAATTGTGGTCCTAAAAACTGTGGCCCTAATGGCCCTAATTTCCTGTTTTGGATAAGTTTGTTTTTTTTTTCTTTTTTTTTTTTGCCTTGTTTTTTTTTTTTTTTTGCCTTGGTTCAATATTCACATCAAAATTGTCGCCATGTTTGAATTTTGAAAAAAAAAATTAAAAACAAATTATTTTATATAATTTTATCTTCTGAGAGGGTAGAAATAATTTTTTTTTTAATATATTTATTTTAGTTAAATTAGATTCTATTTTTTCAAAAATCAAACATGGCGACAATTTTGATGTCATTATTAAACCAATTCATTAAATTAAAAACCCAAAACTAAAAATATTTCATACATTAAACATATTAATTACATATTAAAAGCCTAATAACTATTCAAAAATATTTGTTTAACAACAAATACAATCATATATTACATAATAACCATCGAAAAATATCAACAAAAATAACCACCTATTATATGATCACCGTCCAAACATATAATAAAAATTAATTTGGTAAAAAAATAAAAAATAAAAAATAATTATCATTTAAGGGTAAAAAATAATTATCATTTTAACTTTTGACCAGGTTATATACATACGTATGACTGTTTCAATTTAATTTGTAAAAAAATATTTCTAACCACTTGAAAGATAAAAATTATATAAAAATGATAATTATTTTTTATTGATATCTTTAATTGTCCTTATTTGGAACAAGATTCAAAATTCAGGGTCAAATGTGTCACAATTGAAAAGTCAGGAACTAAAATGACATAAGCCCCAAACTATAGGGACTATTAGTGTAATTCATTCTTAAAAAAATTGCAATTACTTTGTGTTGTTTTGGTTAAAAACAAAAAGTTAATATTACAAAAGTTAATTTGTTCGTATATTTTTTGTTTTTGTAATTACTTTTAGATTTGATTAAAATGATTTTTACTTTTATTTTTATTTTTTGGTGAAAATAGCTATGCAAATGCATTGAGAGTTTTTAACTAAAAAACCGAAAAATAAAAGGCTATAGGTAAATTACACTTACCTCTCTTAAAGTTTATGACAATTACATGGACCTCTTTTTATAGTTTTAATAATTACACTAATATCCCTTACATTTGAAATTATTATCAAGATTCTCCACTACTAGGCTATTTAATATAATTTTGCTAATGTCATACAAAAAATGATGAAATTGGCCATTAATTACTTTATTTATTCAAATGGGAAATTTCACTCAAATCCTATGAGGTTTTGCATATATATTATAAAAAATCCATATATTTTACCATTATTTAATAAAATTCTTAAATTTCATGCAATATTAAATAAACAATTTAAATTGTTAAGACATTATTAAATTATTTAATGCAAAAGAACTTAATTTTTATTAATAAAATACTTAAAAATAAAATATCTCTCTATAATTAATGTTAGATAACATCATAATAATTTAATATAAAACTTATTTCACACCACGTAAATCTAAAATTTATTATTTTAAGTAATAAATTTATTATTTAATTTTTTTAAAAGTTAATTAAATTGATTTATTTTTTTCCTGGCAATTTGCATTACTTATTTAGATCATATGTAAAAAAAAATATTATTTTTTTACCTGCATATGTAAAAAATTAAATAAATTATTATTTTTTTCCTGGCATATGTAAAAAATTATTATTTTATCTTTTCTAGATCATATATTATTCCTAGATTTTAATTTTTATCTTTGAGGCATTAAACTTCTAGTCGATATATATTTAAAAAAAACTTAGATTAATATTTCTTAAACAATTTTAAAAAATAAAAATAGAAGTAAAAAAAATTTAATCGTGTCATAATAAATTAAGGCCTCGTTTGAGAGCAAGTTATTTTAATTTTTTGACTTTTTGGCTAAAATATGATGTAAACAAAAATTATTATGTTTTGAATGACTTTTTAGTTTTTTATGAAAAGATATGCAAAAAGTAGAGAAAAAATAATTTTTTTGACTTTTTGTTATAGGCTATAAGTTTTTTGATTTTTTTAGTAACTTTTTAACTTTTAAACTAAAACTGTTATATACCAAACGAGACCTAAAATTAGTTAATAGGGAATGAAAGATCAAGAAATTATTTGAGAATAATAAATAATTCAAACAATTTTTCATTTTTTATACATAAAATTAAAATTAATCTTTATTTGAATGGAGAAATTATTTGAAAATAATAAAATAAAATTAAAATTAATCTTAATTTGTCATGTATGATACTTAGGCCTCGTTTGGCAACTACATGTTTTAGTAAAAAAATTAAAAAACCACTATAAGTTGTCACATCACTCTCTTTACTTTTCTGTATATCTTTTTCTAAAAAATTAAAAAATTACTAAAATAACTTATTCCCAAACGAAGCCTTAAAATATGTTTATCCATCTTTATTTTATCATTTAGACTTTTTTTATTAAATTAAATTGTAAAATTTATTTATCACCTCCGTTAATGAGTTGAATTTTTATTTTATTTTTTTGTTTATAAAAGTTAAAAAACTTGTTGTAGAAGAAAATAGAGTTAAGAATTACATTTATATTTTAAAAAAATATGAAAAATAAATAATAAAGTGTTTTTTTTGGCAACTTACTGTTTTAGTCTAAGGTCAAAAAATTTCAAAAAAAATAAATTAAAAAGCTAATAACTTATACAAAAAAGTCAAAGATTCAATTTTTTTTACACTTTTTGCACATTTTTTCGTAAAAAAATTGAGAAGCCAATTAAAAGCCAACTTTTAACTTTTTACTCATTTTGGGTCACATCACCTCACATTTTTTACTCACAAAAAGATAAAATAGACTAAAAAAGTCAATTTTTTATCTTCTCATCAAAACACCACATATTTTTTTACCTCATATTTTAACTAAAAAAATAAAAAAGTTATTAAAATAGTATGTTCTCAAACGAGACCTAAATTAGTATTAGAGTCTGATTTCTCAATTTTGTCAATAAAATTATATGAGTATTAGATATACGAAAGAAGTAAAATTAAATAATTTAAATAATAATATTTCGCTATAAATAATAATATAACAAAATAATGGTGAGAAATTAAAAACTAAAGTAAAAATTTAACTATTAATAAAGGTGAAAAATTAATGAAGATTTAATTAATAAAAATAGGTTAAATGAGAAAAATAAAGACGATGAAATATATTTTAATTATCATTCATTAAATTAATTGATTATTTTAGCATGCTAAAATAATTTTTTCATGCATGTAAAGATTAATTTTGTTTTTAGGTGTAAGAAATGAGAAATTACTTGAATTGTTTATTATTCTCAAATAACTAATTTTAATTTATTGTGAGGCGATTAGATTTTTTTTTTTACTTCTATATTTATTTTTAAATTTTTTTAATCATGTAAGAATAACATGAGTTTTTTTTTGTAAATATGTACTGACAAAAAATTTAATGACTCAAAGATAAAAATTAAAATTTGTTAATAATATCCAAACAATTTAGGGATAAATCATTTTCGTACAATTGCTAGAAAAGGAAATTAATCTATTTGTTTCAACTTAAAAAAAAATAAAATAAATTTAAATAATAAATATATTAATTAAAATTGATAAATATTTCGTTATTTATAAAGTATGAAATAAGTCTTATAAGTATTGTATTAATTATTAGTGCCTTATATTAACTATTAGGGTGTTAAGTTAAAATATATATCAATCTTTAATAATATACATGCAAAATCTTAGGAGAAGTGAGCGAAAAATTTCATTTAAATAGCTTATTAATTCAAAAGGATAATATGATTATTTTAGATAAAAAAAGTAACGGTATTTGTATTAAATTAACAGATTGAGAAAATATTGATAATGTCAGCAAAAATAGAACACATTTTTGTAATTATAAAAATAATAAAAAAAGTCTTTATATTTATCAAAAATCTCAAAAGAGATATATATAATTTATCCAAAATTATACCTTTATTATTTTTCAAGTAATTTTTTTTTCCTACTTGATATCAATACCATTCTCATTTTATTCTCTCCCAACTACTCTATAAATTTGTATTCTTTGACACCAAACAAGTGTAGACAAGACACCGTTTGGCCATAAAAGGAATCTTAAATACTTTGGAAGCTCTAGCCATTTTATCTCTCCTATTTTTGGTTCACTCTCTCTCTACACATCATTGGTGGCTTTACATCAAAGTGATGTGAATCGTCAAAAGCAACCCAAACCAACATCCCAGAAAGGTAATTTCAAGAAAATCTGGGTAAGGTTTTCCTTGCTCTTAGCTAGCTCCTCCTTCATTTGGTTTTGCAGCTTTTGTTTTTGCTTTCTGTCTCTAGGGTTTGTTTTCTCTCTCTTGAATTAGAATGTGCCGGTCTTTTGTATACTTTTTTCTGCAAAATCCCAGTTCATTCTTCCAACTCTCTCTCTCTTCCATATTTAGAAATTTTCATTCACTACTAAACATTCTACTTTGGTTGATTGGGTGTTGAAAAGGGTTTGTTTTAAATTCTTTGTCTAATCTAATCTCTATCTGTTTTTTTTTTTACTCAAAAACCCAAATCTTTCATCCAACTATCTCTCTATTTTTTTTTTCTTTCTCTACACCGACATTCTATTTTGGTTTTTGATTTGATGTTGAAAGGGTTTCTTTTAAATTCATGGTCTTAAATTCAATGATCTGTTTATTTATTTATTTTATAACTCAAAAACTCAAATCTTTGATCAAACTTTTTCTCTCTATTTTGTTCTTTCCATATATAGATATATTAATTTTCTAACCATATATAGTATTTTCTTTCTCTACCCCAACTTTCTACTTTGGTTTTTGATTTGATGTTAAAAGGGTTTGTTTTAAATTCCTGGTCTAATTCAATAATCCAATCTTTACGTGTATTTTTAATTTTTTTTTTTTATTATTCAAAAACCCAAATCATTCATCCATCTCTCTGTCTCTCGCTCTCGCTCTCTCTACCTCTAAGTTTTCTCTCTCTAAATACCTGTTTGGTTAGACTGATATATTGATTTTTTTTCTGTGAAGGGTAGGTTAAATTTTCCGTGGTGAGAAAATGGTGAGACAGAGAATTCAGATCAAGAAAATCGACAACGTGACGGCGAGGCAGGTGACCTTTTCGAAGAGAAGAAGAGGGCTTTTCAAGAAAGCTCATGAACTCTCAACACTCTGTGATGCCGAGATTGCTCTTATTGTCTTCTCCGCTACTGGCAGACTCTTTGAGTACGCCAGCTCTAGGTTAATTACCTTACCACTCTCTTTCTCTCTCCTTATTTCTTTTTTTTTTTTTTCCTTCTCTCTCTCTATATCAATCTATGTTTTCTTGCACTCTATACTGCTGCATGAGTTATATATATGTAGAGAGAGAGAGAGAGAGGTTTAGGGATTGAGCAGACTACCCAGAGAAGGTTAAGAGTAATTACTTTTTAAAAATCTCTTAAATCATGAAGAAAGTTTCAAAACCAAAGAATAAGTCTTAAAAAACACATAAATGAGTTACAGAGTCAGATACAAAATCTATATGAACCAATAATTGTGTAGCCCTCTTTCCAAAATTTCATGTTGACTGTGTATCTAACAAGTAGCAAGGGTTAAAATGAATACATAAACTTAAAAATAACAAGATAATAGACAAATTATAGAATATCATTATTTTTTAAAAATATCTTAGATCATGAAGAAAGTTTCAAAACCAAAAGAAAAAGTCTAAAAAAACAAATAAATTAGTTACAGAATCAGATACAAAATCTATATGAACCAATAATTACGTAGCCCTCTTTTTTAAATTTCATGTTGACCGTGTATCTAATAAATAGTAGGGGTTGAAATGAATACATAGACTTAAAAATAAGGAAATCATAGTCAAATTTTGAGTCCGTGATCAGTTTATGTGGTTATAATAACAGAACTGGAAATCAAACCTACCATGTGATGGGTTTCTATAGAGAAACACTCGGATAGTTAGGACCTGAAAAGGGTAAAAGAAGCAGCAAAAAAAAACCACGATGAATGGCCTTGAAGTATACAAAGAATCACAGGCTTTTCTATGAACTTACATAATTCTCATTCTGTGTGTGGATGGAGAGAGAGAGAGAGGGAGAGAGAGAGAGACTATAGTTGAAAACCAGTAGCTAAATTTCAAATACGATGAGAAGGTTCAGTCAAAAATGGAGGTGGGAAGGTTACGTCTGTAGCTTGTGTCTTCAAGAAAAATTATATTGCACAGAGAGAGAGAGAGAGAGAGCATTACTGTTATATCATGAGTCATAGAACGGTCCATTCTATAATTATATCAAACTATCAGAGTGGTCTGTTTAAGATTTTAAGCTTTTGTAATTGAGTTTTATCTAGTTTATGAGGAGGTCTAAACTAGTCTAATTAACTCAATAATTACTTTCAATTTTTTTTTATAACTTGGTATTTGACCGATTAATCTGAAGACCAATCCCACCGTTCACTTGTCGCCCAATTAAAGTTTAAACAAAAGATCCATGTAGATTGGTTTCAAGAAATTGTTTGCATCTAAGAGATGTTGAACCTGAGACCTTAGAGGAAGCATACTTCCCAAATCCCAAGTCTTAATAATTTCTTCCAATTAATACCAACCATACCATAAGTTGGTTGAGAGACAAAACAATTAGACAAAAGATCATTCACCTAGTGTATGTTATAATTTTTTATGGCCGAAAATACTAGATTTTGATCCTCTCCCTTGTTTGTTTATAAGGAAGGATTTCTATTACATATTTAATAGTTATGAAATAGGAATATACATTTATAATTGTTTTAAATTAACAAAATATCATTACACTTATTGTTAGATGGTGTAATGAAATCTTTCCATTACAAACATATTTTGTAATGTAGATAATCACAATCCAAAAATACTACGTAAATAATACCATATAGTACTTTAAAAGTATTTAATAATTTTACATATTAAAGTGCAATAGATTCCCTCCATCTCACAGATTAATTACAAATACTATTTATTTTTCACAAACTCAAGTACAAGAATGTATTTTTTTTTTCTTTTATCTATCTATTTTTTTTATCAATACACTTCAACACTATTTTTTATTTTACTTATTCATCCAAACAAATTAGCACATTAGACGTCAAGGACTAATGTTAAAATAATTATTATAGTACCTAGATTATTAGATTGAGTAAAATAGGATGAGATTAGTTATAGTAATTAATAGATCATTTTTATAGAGCTTGTTGAAAATATTCTAAATGAAAGAAAAATGACTACTTAAAATTCTCAATAACTAAAAGCTATTAGGCTGCGTGGAGGATTGTTTTTTTCTTCATGTGGAGACTCATATCCTCCCTATGTGAAGGTTTTTTTTTTATCCTTTGTGAAATTTTTTTTATACTCTAATATATTTTATTTGACGATTTATTGTCGAATGTATAATATAGTAAGTCTTGTGTTTTTTTATATATAAAAAAAGGCCATTTAAACTATTATGAAGAGGGATAACTGGCTGCCTATATTTTTTTTGTTCCCATACCCTATTAAAATTTTGACCATCAATTTAACTAAAAGTTAATATGTTAGAAAATGGCTCAACAAGGCAATATATATCAAGGTAACACTACTACTAATTAGTGATTTAATATAGTATAGGGTTTTGGTTCTTGAAAGTCATGAATCAACTCCTTTTACATTTCTTGAAAGTCGTGAGTCAACTCTTACATTCATCATCACTATCATTGTGCAGGGTTAAAATTTTAAATCAGTTGGTACTTAACAATTTAATAGTAGGAAGAAAAAATATGATCTTTTAATACCACAATAATTGTCATGACCATTGAGAATATAAATAATAATTTTTTTTTTTTTTTCTAATAACTTAAGTTCTTAGATGAGTTGGTGATTAAAAATTCAATATGATGTTAGAGCAAGTAATAAATTTTGTCATAGTCTACCCAATAATTAAAATATTTGTATATGTCTGGTTCGATTATAAATGAGAGTCTGAGATGTGTTGAAAATATAAATAATAAAATTATTTATCTTGCTAATATCTTAAACTTTTAGATGAATTGATATGATTAATCATTTAAAGGTCTGTACCCATAACGCTATGGGGTTGGCCTAGTGGATGTAACTTGTACCTTAGAGGCGTGCTCTCGCTAAGTTTCAAGTTTAACTCCCATTAGGAGCAATCTATTTATTGGGGTCACACTTGCGGCTTCTGTCTGAGATTTGTCTGATTTACGAAGATGGAGCACTTTACATAAATTTCAAGATATAAACCGGACCGCACACCCCGCCATTAAAAAAAAAAACCAAAGAAAAGTGTACGCATGCTAGTAACTTGTTTACGAACTTACTTCAGTCTCTATCCAGTCATTTCACTAAAGTTTTGCAGGCTTAGAGTCCTATTTGTACATTAAAAAAATAATTTTATTCTTTTAATGGCTACAACTTTTTCCATTGGTGCAAAATTAGAGGCATGCATATAAATATGGTAAGGAAGGATAAGATGATTATTCTAAATGAAAATTTTAAGCGAAGTATGAAAATTAAATTGAAATGGGATGTTTTTGTAAGAAAATATAAACTTATTTAATTTAATTGAGTATATAGTCCTTGACTGAAGGAAGAAAAATATTCATGTATTTGTTTAGAATACAAAGTTGACTTTGATTTAGAACTTGTTTGGAAATTGATTTTTTCAGTAAGGTCTTATTTGGAAGAACTTGTTTTCAAACACAAACTATTGCAACCTCTCTATAACAATCAAATTAAGGTCTTATTTGGAAAGTAAGATTTTTAGTTAAAAAGTCATTATAAGTTATCAAATTTTTATTTTTACTTTAAATATTTTTACTTGTAATGACTTTTTAACTAAAAACCTTACTTTCCAAATAAGACCTTAATTTGATTGTTATAGAGAGGTTGCAATATTTTGTGTTTGAAAACAAGTTGGTAAAGTGTTAAACTTTAACCAATTATTTAGAATTCTATTATTTCTTTGTGAGTTGGGAAAAAAACAACCTTAAATGGTGAAAGAGATTTTGATGGAACTGCTCAACTCATTTCAGGGTGGTTGTATTGTAGTTACAGCTGTTCCTTATGAAACTACAGGAAGTGACCTACATGTGTGGACATTAATGCATATATTTAGAGAAAAGTTAGAGATCATGAAAAAATTTTCATGAAAATGATCATGAAAGAATTATGATCCTTGGATTACCTTGATTAGTGTGTGGTGTTTTATTTTAAGTGTAATCCAAGGGTCATAAATCTTTCATGATCATTTTCATGAAAGTTTTTTCATGATACCTACTATTGCTCATATATTTAACATATTTAAAAAGATTACATCAGTAATTAATTGCAACTAGGAAGTGTTGTTGTCAACTACTTCACTAACAAAATTCCCACCCACCATGCAATTGTAGGAAATTAACAATTATTTGGAGAAAATGCCATGGAAAAAAAAGATGGTAGTGGTTAGAGTTTGATAAAAATTATCAAAATAATAAAACCCAACTGTCAACCTATTAATCTTCTTCTCTCATGTTAAATCTAGAGTCAATTATATGACAAACCCCTAAATTTTTGTTCAATTAAAACCCTCTTAACTTTCTAATTAAATTGATTTAATTTAGCCCCTGCATTACATTCTCTCTACTTTTGATAATTAAATATATTATATGGGACCTAATTAAAGGATAACTTGATAAAGTTAATCATAAATTCATTTCCTGTAATAAAAAAAATTATGTATATATAGAACCAACATCCTGTCCATCACTACCATAGATTTCTGATCATTAATTGATTTTTAAGTTTCCTTTTATTATTTACTAATTTATCATTTAGATTGGAAATCAAACATGATTAATTTATCATGGTTATCAAACATGCTTCTTCATAGCCTTTCCAGATCCTCTCTATTGCGTTGATTTTGCATCTTTTTGGCACTTTCACTCTAGTCAATTACTGGTAAGTATTTAGTAGTTTTGAAATACCATGTAACATTGTTTACGTGGTATTATCAATGAATGACATTTTGAAAAACTTAACGAGTTGAACCATCTTGACAAGGGAAGACCATCCTCTTTTCTTTCTCTTTTTTTTTTCCATATATAAAAATTTTAAATCTAAACACAACCCTAATTATCAAATCATAGAATCAAGAGGCTGGTATAAGCCAGGGCCCTTGAAAATTTATCAAATAACACGAAATCGACACCTACTATACCTGTTGCAGTTCTTTTGAATTCAAGACTGACCTACCCCCACATCCAACAGATGAATAAATAAAAGTGAACAATTCTATTAATTTTTTTTTTTTATCAGCAAAGAAAAATTTCATTAAAAGAATGAAATTAAAGGTACAAGAAGATGATATGCATCGAGAGAGATTCGGAAAGTACAAAAACAATTCTATTAAATTCCTTTGTAAGCTTATGAAAAAACTTAGTAAACATTCTATATTGACTAAAAGTCAATATCAATATATGATAATGTAATCCAATGGTCATGTGGCTATTTGATGTAGAGTATAAGAAGTTCAAGAAATGTTAAATTTAGATAAGTGATGATATTTGAACATTGGTATGATTTTATAGAGAAACTGATAGAAATCTTTTATAATTATATTTCTAACATTATTAGAGTCTTATTTTATTATTATTTCTATGTTTTCTAAAATTTTTGAAGTTAGGGGTATTTGGTAATTTTATGTTTGCTAACATGGATCGAATTGCCCATGGATCGTTTTGTGGGTCAAGTTATTTAATTAGTTTTAGTTTTTATTTGGTCTTAAATTAGTTTTAGAAATCAAAAATATCTTAGTAGTTTTCTTTTATTAGTTCTAATTGGTTTAGAAAGTCTCCTTATCCTATATAAAGTTATGTAATGCTTATAATTTAATAGACTTGATATTTTATAGAATTTTAGAGCTTTTAAAGTTTCTTTTTGTGATGCAATCAAACCGTAGGTGTGATATCTAAGGGATTCTAGAAGTGATTCGTAGATCCTTCTTCTTCTTCTTCTCCTCCTCCTCCTCCTCCTCCTCCTTTCCCTCCTATATTTTCTGCACTTTTTAACAGCCCAAACACTGTTCACAACTCCTAAACAGTGCCAAAATTCCATCTTTTCATGCTTAAACTCTTACCTATTTATTACCCTAAACAAACCCTGCTTGTCCCTTACATTCTTATTGCAATTGCAGCCATAAAATCCAATTAAAATCGGCCACAAAAGCCTAGATTTGCTGCTGTTCCTACTTGTCCTACACCACTATCCTAAAACCCTATTATCCAAAATTCTTTTCACACATGAAGACTTGCCATATTGTTCAACAAAGAACTCTTCTATTGACAAAAATAGAGATTCTAATATAGGTAAATCATGCAAGTGTCGCGTCTTGGGCTATAAAAAATAACTAAACAAAATCATGCAAATTCAAGTCATGAGAATTATTTAGTCTCTCCACCAAAAAATAGGTTAAAATTGTTCACCTATTATTTCTCTCAGACCGTGTTATAAATGGGAGTCTTGTGCATTAGATATGACCCTTTAGAGAAAAAAGGGCACTGGGCCCAGGATTTATACAATCATGTCCGTGAAAGGTATAAATGACCATGTTTAAATTCGACTATTATGGTTAGGAAAGTGAGTTGTGGAGCAAGGGTTCGATCAAGAATCACAACTAGAGACCATTGCCTAGTTCAAGTGGGGTTGTGTTACATCACCCATTATCCCAAAGAACTTAAGCCGTTATGAAATGGACCAAATAATACATTTTGAAAAACTTCATTGTCGCTTTCTTCTTTCTGAATACCGTAGAAAAAACAATTTCACCAGAACTAACACAGCGAAATCAAATTAGAACTATTAGAAAAGATTATTGGTTTTGTTTAAATTAATTGAACTGCTAACTGACTTTGCTATGCATCTTTTGTCTTCTTAAGTACGAGGCAGGTAATTGAGAGGCATAATCTACAACCGCAGAATCTTGTGCAACTAAACCAACCATCATTAGAGCTGCAGGTAACATGTTATTGTCACACTAGTATTTAATTTGTATGTATATACTAAGGTCCAAATTGGTAATTGGGTAGAGCTCCTGAATGATATATATTGCATGGGGGACAAGTAGAGAAACAAACAAGACAAAATTGTTTATAAGAATTCTGGTGTATTTATGCCATGAAAATATCAATATCCTCCAAACATAGGAATAATGATTTCTTTTTATTCTTTTTGCTAATTTTGGGAGACCCTTTTTTTCCCCTTCTTCTCATCATGTGTGTGGGCTATTTGCCCCGCCCCAAGTGATTCATGTGTGAAGGGTCCTAGAGCCTAAATTTTCGCTCGGTGTAAATATTAAGGTAAAGATTATATGTAGGGATGGAGTTGGTGAGAACTATAAAAAGTAATGAAAAAGCATAAGAATAAAAATTCTTACACCAAGTGAAAATGGATCCGTTTCCTTTTAGTTAAATAGGGGTATTTATGTGCAATGGACACAATAGTTAAGTGCTTGCAAGAGAGAGGTTGGGGGTTCAATTCCCCTAAGGAATAATCAAATAACTAGCAATTGATTTTTGCTGATCCTTAGAAAGAAAGAAAAAATCTAAATTGATTTTACATTTTGACCCAAAGAGAGCATAAACATGATTTACTACAAAATACATCATAAAAAGGTCTTCTGGATAGAGCCTTGTAACTTATAAAAAAATAAATGGTTGATGTCAATGGATTGTTGACATTTGGATTTACAATTTTGAGAATCTCCATGATTTCAAAGTTCATCAAGTATTTTGGTTAATGTATGTAGGCTAAAAACCACCTTGACATTGTGTTATGATCCCTAAAAGCCATTCATGGACAAAAAGAGTCATTTTCTATTTATTGACAAGCATTTATGGACGAAAGAGTCCTGCCAACTGTATTTGTATATCGAAAGAAGTTAGTTCTTGCTGTATGACTATTCTTCGAATCAAATGTTGATTCTCCTACTGAACTACTGGGAGTTGTATGCATTTTTCTACCTAAATAAACCTTTAATTAGAAGTTAGTTTTTTTACAAGTTCTTGCAAATAGTTAATACTTTATTATCGACTATTTTACAGATTATATATATACTAAAAAATCTTTGGCGGTGTTGTGTATAGCTTGAAAATAGCACACGTGCCATGTTGAGCAAGGAAGCTGAAGAGAGGACTCTTGAATTGAGGTGATAACTACATTCCTGTTGAACCTCTATTGTCGTATATGCATTTATATGGCCCCCCTTGGTAAAACTTTTTTTAGCTTAAGAAAATATATTTCAAACTCAGCTTAATGCTTCGAGCTTATTTTGATGAGCTAAAAAAGCAAATAATCTAAAAACATAAGTTTACCAAACAAAAAAATTGCCAAAGTACAGTAGTCCCCAACAAATATTAAAAAAATGTCAGCGCAAACATTGCAAATAAATTTTACTAAATGGGACATGATCCCACTTATGCTAGGCAACTCAGGGGAGAAGAGCTCCATGAACTTGGTTTCGAAGAATTAAAGAAACTAGAAAAATCACTGGAAGGAGGATTGAGCCGTGTCTTAAAGACAAAGGTTTGTGTTATTTGGTCGTTTTCTTTTCTAGTGCTATCATGATTATATATATATTTTGTAAGTTTTAGTGCGCTATAACAAAATAAACTTTGTATTGATTTCAGGATGACAGGGTTGAGAAAGAAATTGCTGCCCTTAGGAGAAAGGCAAGAAACTGCTAATTGTTGTAATGTAATTCATTAAGCTACCAAAGGCAAAATGGGATCATAAAAATGATGATTTACCACAAATTATTAAGTAGTCTCGGAGCATGGTGATCCGAAACTCATTAGAGCAATAATGAAGAACTTTTTCCTTTTCAGTATGACCTGAATTTGGTATCCTATTCCCCATCCCTAAATTAGATGGATTTGTACATAATAAATTAAATAAATTTACCTTCATTTAGTGAAAATTACATACTAAGGACTTCCAAACTCAATCATACCCGATTTGATTTTTGTGTTGTCATGCATAACTAATAACATGCCTCAGAAATATTACGAAATACATTATTTTGAATGCAGGAGGCTAGATTGATGGAAGAGAATGCGTGGTTGAAACAGCAAGTTCAAGTAACATTTTGAATCTAGTTTCCTTTTTTTCTTGCTTTTGCTTTTGTTTTTTGTTTTTGGGTAGCCTTTGAGAGGCAAGTTAAATTTTCAGATGCAGATAGTGAATATGGGCCAACCACAAGAACAAGGGCAGTCTTCAGAATCTATCACCAACAATGGCAGCACAGTTGCTCCTCCCCAAGACTATGACAGCTCTGATACTTCCCTCAAGTTGGGGTAATGTTACTACTTCTATATATAATTTAAACATTAATGATCAGTATTGGATTAAGGAAGTATTTGGATCTTAAATTTGTGAAGGAATTTATGCTAGGAAAAAGAAAAGAGAAGAGATTTGTGACACAAATTTACCTTCTAATTGATTCACAATCTCTCTCTCTCTCTCCCTCCTTTTTTTTTCTTCTTTTCCTTTATATATTCCTACATAAATTGAAAATATATCCAATACAACCTAAATGAATATTTTTGTTTGTTTGATGGGACTATGGGGGGCATTTTACACAATATGCATTTGGCACATTTCATTTATAAATAGGAAAACCGAAAGTGCCCTAAATAAATGGATCCTAAGATAGGTGTGTTTGGTATCGTTTTTGTTAATGTTATTTCATTGTTTTGGAAAAAAAAAAATTAAAAACACCAATCGCTTTCATTTTTGTACAATAATAGTTTTCAAAATTCAAAAATAAGTTTTTGGTGTTTCCTAAATGAAGCCTTGAAAACGACTTTCATAAACAGTTTTATGTGTCTTCCTCAATGAAAGAGAACAAAAACATTATATCTCATTTTCCTCCACAAAATTATGTATGTTAATTAAATGTCTTAAGTTGAATGGTTGTGATAATAAATTTTCTAACTATTTACTTTGTAATAAAAAATTCATTGAACTTTCTTTATTTCATGTTAATAAAATTTATTTTGCTAATTAAAAAAAAAATCTTTACCTGAAATTTCCCATATTTTGCAGCCTACCTTATCAGAGCTGAATATGAGGGTTGGCATGGTCAATAAATATGGTAAGCAATATATAGAGTTGTATTATTGTTTTCAAAGTGTATGACTTGTATGCTTCAAATTCAGATCCAATCGTCTTGTTACATATGTATATTCGTGTGGAGCCCTATCATTTCAGACAGTTGATTCAATAGTGAATTTTTACAATGCTGCAAATTTGAGAATTTGAGTCTTGGATGTGTAAGTATTAAAGCATTGAGATTGGAATTGTCATGAGTTACTGTTAATTTTAATTTTATTTTTTTGAGCAATGAGTTGCTGTTAGTTTGATGAGCCTCCAAATGGAGGTGCCAAGCAATATGCATAATGTCATGCTATGTTTGGATTTTTAATTTATAAAATAATTTTACCAATTGCGAAAGAAAAATGATAAGGAAATCAATAAATAAATTTTCTTTATTTGTTTAATTTTCCTCTTTTTTTTCATTACCATTTATTTCCTTTTATAAATATATTTTTTTATCTATAAAAACAAAATTATTAATAAACTGAGGAAGTTACATTCAGCCAGTACATCAGTTTATTAATAGATATGCGAGTATAAAAAAATATTTCGTACATTAATATAACAGTCGTGTTGGAAACTCTCAGTCTCCAAGCACCCCAACCACCCCCACACACACGTGGGAGTTGGTCATTGGATCAATAGAAAAAAAAAATGGACCAATCACACTCCACTGAGGGCCTTGGGGGTCACCCCTAGTGGGGGTATGAGGTTTTTTCCTTAATATAATTCATACTATTTTTTGTCTTCTAATCTCTCATGAAAAGGGTATGAAAGACAATAAAATTTGTATACAATGGTCTTTGATAGAGCTCAAGGGTTATTTATTATTAAGAGAAGAATTGAGTCAAGGGATCCTGGTTTCATTGTCAAACGGAAAAAAAAAACAGAAAACTAAATAAACTGTTGAAGGACCCCAAAGGAAACTAGTTGTGAATTTTATTTTTAGGAAAAATTAAAAAAAGAAAAAAAAAAAACCACACTTTGATTTCAGGAACAATTTGAACTCTAAATTTTTAATCGTTTAATTTAAACCATGAATATTAAAATAATATAAATTCTAACTATCAATTTGTATAACTAGTAAAAAAGGGGCAATATAAATAATTTAATTATTTTTTCTCCTTTATTATTGTTGACCATCATCTCTCACTCTTATTATTGTTCATCACCACCTCTCTTCTTTTCCAATCCAATGCCATTACTCCATCTATTTTTTACGCCACTTCTATCATTTCTGAGTTCATTGCCGCACCTTACCTTCTTTCACTAATAACTGCCATGGTCTAGCACCACCCACAAAAAAACGTATTGACTTCGTTTGGGGAATAGGCTGTTTTTTTAACTTTTAACTTTTTTGACTATTTTAGTCTGGGGTTAAAAAGTTTAGTTTGGGAAGGCTTTTGGCTTTTTTGAATGTTGTGCGAGAGAAAGAATGTAATGATTATGAGTTAGATGTGATGTTTTGTCTTATTGGACTAAAAAAATTATTTTGTTTTTTATGACTAAAATAGGCAAAAAAAGCCTCAAGATTGGCTTCCCAAACGATGCTATTGTCTAAATTGTCAACGTTTCGGTAGTTATAACTAATAAATTATTAAGGTTGGTAGCATTTAAAAAATGAAGAGCTTAAATTAAAACAATTAAAATGTTAATATTTGATTTGTTAGAGCATTTTCAATGCTTTACTAAAATTTTTCATCAAATTTTACTTAAATTTGATAAAAAAAACTTGATTTTATATTGTGCATTCCAACGGAATAATTTGGGATTTCATGAAACCACCGGTTGATTGGCTGGTCGGCCGGTTAGTATAATTTTTTTATAAATTTTTTCAAGGAAGTGATCATTCAAGGGGATAGCTGGCCGAACATTGGGCCAGTCGTCTAGTGGTAAAAATAATCTCTAACTCTAACAAAAAAAAAAGAAAGTGATTTGATAAAAGGCAAATTCATTCTCAATTTGATGAAATATTTAAAAAATTCTGAATTTAATGTAACATGTGGTGCTTAATTGAAACAACAAAAAGTTAATTTTTTATAAAACATTTGGCTTGCGTTTTGTAGAGTTTTCTAAATATGATTTGATAATAGAGTTATATTTTGAGTTTGTCTTTACTAAAATTTTTCATCAAATTTTACTTAAATTTGATAAAAAAAACTTGATTTTATATTGTGCATTCCAACGGAATAATTTGGGATTTCATGAAACCACCGGTTGATTGGCTGGTCGGCCGGTTAGTATAATTTTTTTATAAATTTTTTTCAAGGAAGTGATTATTCAAGGGGACAGCTGGCCGAACATTGGGCCAGTCGTCTAGTGGTAAAAATAATCTCTAACTCTAACAAAAAAAAAAAAAAGTGATTTGATAAAAGGCAAATTCATTCTCAATTTGATGAAATATTTGAAAAATTCTGAATTTAATGTAACATGTGGTGCTTAATTGAAACAACAAAAAGTTAATTTTTTATAAAACATTTGGCTTGCGTTTTGTAGAGTTTTCTAAATATGATTTGATAATAGAGTTATATTTTGAGTTTGTAAGTTTTGGATTATGATTTGAATATAAAAAATTTGTTTGATTATGATTTTTTAATAGAGTGTTGAATTGAGTTTTGAATTGAGTTTTGAAAGTTTGATGTGACATGTGAAATAAAAAAATTTGTTTAGCTATGAATTTTGAAAAGAGTTTTCAAAACTTAATTCAATTTATAATTGATAATTAAACACACAACTCAAAACTCAATTGAAATTTTTGATCAACAATCATAACCAAACGATTTTTAAAATTCAATTAAAAAATGAATTATTAATTTTTTTTTCAAATAATTTTTTTTAAATAATTTTTTTCCAATTAATTTTTTTTTAATTAATTTTTATGTCAATAATTTTTTTCAATTAATTTTTTAGGCCTGAATAAACATATTTTCTTCTATACGTTTATAATATTTTTCAAACATTTTGTTCAAACCAAACACGTTTGAGGATTACATTTTTATAAAAATTAACAAAAATTAATTTATTAATTTTTTTAAAATACAAACCAAAACGTAAACGTTTCCAAACATTATCAACGTTTTTTTATTTGTTAAATTTTATCAATTTAATAAAAAAATCATTTATCTTGTACTATTTTTCTTAGCTTCATTATTGTCCCTCACCCCTGCCTCACCCGTGAAGCTTATATTATTGGGGGTATGGATCGATGTATTTGACTATGAAATGACTAAATTGCCCCTCTTTCATAGAATGTGAAATTGGCATGCAAAAAATGAAAAGGGCAACATCGTAATTTCACTTATGCAGAAGACCCGTCACTTCTCTACTGGTTGTCAGTGGGTCACTATTCAATAAAAGAAAATAAAAAAAAAGGGGGGCAAAACTCAGCCACAGATTGTCAGTTGGTTAATATTCGATAAAAGAAAATAAAAAAAACAATTATAACTACAGATTTTTTTTTGACCATTTATTTACCTGAGGCTTTATATAAGTCACCAACTTTATTTTTTTAACTACACCATCTTCATTCCAATAACTTCAGCAACCTCTTCACCATATAACCACCTCTTCCACCACCTACTTCAATTAATTTGACAACCAATGAATTTCAAAAATTCACATATCCGTGTAAAAGAAGAGACGAAGAGCTTTCATAAGGGGTTAGTTGAACCAGAGTTTCACAATTTCATAGCTTCACAATTTCATAGCTGAGCTGTAGAAAACCGAATATTTCAGCAAACATGTCGACGCAAAGGTCAACCGGTGGGTCATCCAGCTTCACTCTGAGCTTCCAGCACTCGAGGCTCAGTTTGGTTATCTGTTGCTTGCCTTTTGCACATCATTTTCATACATTTTGCTATACATCTTTCATACATTTTTTATATAGTTTTCTTAACTTTTGCTGTCATTTTGATTACCTTCATAAGTCATGCCAAGAACAAAAAGAGCCAGACTCGAACGTGGCGAAACCTCTAACCCTTCACAACGTCAACAACATCAAACCTATCCAACTATTGATTTTCTCACATATAATCATGAACAATCTTATTCAAAATTTGTCAACCGACCAATTGTTACCAGGAGAAGGGTAAATCTACCTTCTCAATATGATCATCTGTTGCTTGGCAGACTGGAGACGGTGGGATGGTTACCTTTAACTAATTTACAACAAAAAGGTATATCCCTACCTTGTGTATTTATTATACCTTCACTTGAGACCTACTAAGGGAGAAGTTGAATACTATAGTCTGACCTCTTATGTCAAAGGTAAAATAATCACACTGAAACCCCACACTTTGGGACAAATTATTGGAGTTTAGTCAGGGGATTTGTGATATCATTTTCAGACTGAGTCTAACTTAGCTAATATTGTTGGTGATATAACTGAGGTTTATACCACAATTTGTGAGAACTGATTTATCGGCACTAATTTACAAGTAAGACATTTGAAACCCCACCTTCGTATTCTTTATTGATGAATAGTAAAAAATGTCACTCAAAAAAAAAAAAACATTTTGATGTTGTTCCATTTTTTAATATTTATTTGTTATATTGTTTTGAAGCTGGACAAACATTAGATTTATATTACATATTACTGAAGGAAATGGTGGTTGCAAATCTTGGTACTCTTAGTGGCCGGTTACTACCTTTTGGAACTCTGCTAACCAAAATTTTCAAAGCGCATCATGTCAGCGTTGAAGGTGACGTAGATGTGAAAATCACTTCACCAATTTCAAAATATACACTGACCCGAGCTGGTGGGGCTGAAAACTTATTGGGATCTATTAATTTTGCAAATGAACCAATACCTGATCTTGAAGACCCCAATGACAATGCCATGCCATCAAATCAACAACCCTAATACTGGACTGATTATTTGACACTGGAACAAGAACGATACAATCAGCGCCTACAATGGGAATAACAAATGGCTAATCAGGTAAATACATTGGGTAATCGGTTCCATGAATTTGTCGCCGCTTAGAACTCACTAATTCAACAATTTGGTGAGTTTCGTGTAGACTCCAGGAGACGTGATGAAGTGATAAGTAACCGCATTGATCAGATTGACCATCGAGTCACTCAGGTGTACCATCACTACTTTCGTCCACCTTCTCCACCTGACAATGACGCTTAACTTGTTTCGATGAGCGATTAAATGGTTTACACATGTTGTGGTTATTTTGTTTTCTTATTTTGTATTAATGTTATGAATAGTGAATTTACGATGGGCACTCTAAAATTAAC